CCGCCCCGCCCCACGCCCGCCTCTCCCCACCCCCGCGTCCACCTCCCTCCCCGCCTCCGCCCTGGTTGATGCGAGCCATAGGATGCCCGTGATTTTGAGGTTGTGGTTGGCTACAGAAGGCTGATGCTAAGAGCATTTATTTGGTTGGCTTTTGCGTTGAACAAACTAAAAGCAAACGGCTTAGTGATGAACTTTGCGCCTCTTCTGCAGCGGAGAGAGCCGGACGGGTGCCAGAAGCGCTGCGTGAGGCAGTGGGTGTCCGGGCTGTTGAAGGATTTTCTCAGTTACTCTCAAGTGGTGACAAATGGACTGAAATTTCCATCTTTTATCCTAGAAAATAATAGGCTCACCCGCTCTTCACAGAGGAATTCATTAAAAGGCGCCCTGGTCTTACCTTTACACGGATTCTGCCTTCCCTGTCTTTGCGGCAGGGTGGGCCCCTGTCGTGCTCCCTGCAGGGCCGGTGTGTCAGTCCCTGTGAAGACATGGGTTCCCTGTGCTCCATTAAAATGTCAGCCAGCATCAGCAGGCTGTCGGAGGCTGCAAAAGGGCCCTGTGATCACGGCTTGTCTACAGGTAGTGCTTTAGCCCGAATAAACTCCCTGCTTTTCATGTAGGGTCAAAATGCATTCAGATGGCTGACATTTAAAGGCTGCAGGAAACTTCATACGAATGGAGTGCCTCAGAAATCAAGAGCCGGGGGCTCGGAAAGGCCGGGCTACTTAGCTGATAGCTGCTTCCAGGAAAAAGTTGCTTCACATTAGGGAGCTGAGGTGAAATCCAGGCCATCAAACTCAATGGGAGGGTTGTACATAACAGGAGGGTTTCACCCTGACCCTCACTTTTGTGGCTCCAGCTAGTTGGGTTTTTGGTGCTGTGCTTGTCACTGTGGTGTCTGAATGCTTTTCAACAGGCACTACGAGTGCTGCGTTCTTCCAAGAGCCATGTCATTTATTTATGTATGTTAATAGGGGTTCAGAGGCCTGATGTTAAGCATCAAAGCTCTGGTCCCATTTTGCAGTGGGTTTTAGCTCCCTGCCGCGTACAGGAGGCCTCCTGCTTCTTGCACCCTGGGGGCCTTCAGCATCCAATTTAACTGTAACTTTATCTTGTTTCTCAAAACAGTTTTTCTGAGCACCTTGAAAATTGCATGCATTTTTGCTGTGGCTTCTAAACAGTACCAGCCATAATCCTGCATTATATATTACTCCCACTTTCTCATGTTTCTATTCTGCGTATGTTGGTGCAATTACAGAGGCCAGTGTCTCATCAATGTAAGTTAGTATTTCAAGCTTGCTTTTTTTTTTTTTAAATAATCCCAGTTCAAACAAGGACAAAAGCAGACATGGGTGCAGACACTGGACAAACGTTTTATTTGGAAAAGGTTCAGGGAAGTCTCCTGGAGCAATTAAAAAGCCAACTCAGGTCTCAGGCATGGAGCATGACACTTGCATGGATGATGCTTGCTGTATGTTCTCAGGCACTGCCCCTTGCCCAGCTCCTTCCTCACTCTGTGACCTCTCAGCAGGGTGTCCATGGTGCTCTGCATCTGCTCCCCAGCTAGCACCACCCACAGCCAGTGGACCATGGCAATAAGATCCCTTGTCCCCTCCTAACCTTTTCTACAACCTGTCTGTTTAGATACTGACAGCATTATCCATCCATCTACTTCAAAAGGCTGATCTTACTGCCCTGTGCCTCTTCACAATATTGTTTCTATTGCTAATTTTACGGGAAATGCATGGATCTCTATGGAAAGTACTAAAAACATGATGTAAAGTCAATACCCTACCATAGGCATCTCACACCTCACAGACCCTAGGCTTTGTGTTCATCAGAGTAGGGATTCTCTGCTTCTTGAGTCTTCTTTTTCTTTTGCTTATATTTCTATAAACTCCTTCTTGCTCATTCTCCCTGACTGCCAGTTTACATGTTGCGCAAGTTCCACTGGTGTCTTCTTGTGAGTGGTACAGTGTGAGGGAGGGAGAATCCAGTATTTTATTTTATGCTTGGCCTGATAAGGTTTGCCTACAAAAATATAGAGGCAACCATGAATTACTGTGCCACTAGTGCATTCTAATCACACTATTTGATGTGATTTGCTAAAATTTTTGTGCACTTGCATTATTTAAGCTGCTTTTGTAGGACACTATTTTCAGTTGATTGGCAGATTCTTGTTCTGGGTTTATATTTGAACAAAATCACTTCCTCCTCTCCTTGGCCTGGTTTCCAAGCCATTGGTTTAACCAAGCTTTATTGTCATCTTTCTGCTGCCTTGGATGTCATCACACTTTGCAGAATGAAAAGGATACCAAATTGATATGAAGCAGAGAGAGAGAGGCAAAAGATAGGCAGGGGAAAAAAATTTTTCAAACTGACATGACAGGTCCAGTATGCTCAAACTAGACCAATGAGAAGAGATCTCTTCTACTGGAAGCAAATATGAAGAAAAACCTTAAACCAAACCAACCCCCCCAAAAAAGAAAAAAGCCCAAAGCTACTGCGAGAGAAGTGAGGAATTTGACAAAAAAGAGCGAGCAAAATCTACAGAAAAAAGACAGAAATGAATCTGTAGATTTTATAAAATCAATAATGTAAGTTGGTTTTAAGGCCAGAAAGGACCATGTTACTCTTCTGCACTGACCTCTGATTACATTGGCAAACTTTTACGCCAAGCCTATGATGTATACCTGTTGCTTAATTTATTATTAAAGATGCTTGGGTGCTACAGCAATAGGAACTGACTAAAATCGTGTGAAGAACAGACCAGAAAATGTTGAGACTGAGCTACAACTTACCTTTAATTACATCAATTCTTGATCTCAAAGGTATAAGAACCAAGCATAATTGCCCCCCCCCTTTTTTTTTAACTATGTGTCTAGACAGAATCTTCAGCACTTTTCCTCCCTCTAAACCTGCCTTCTAAGACCTGAGGTTTCTAAATTGACACTTTTAAAATAATTTACTTCTGTAAAACCAGTAACTGGTGGGAGAAGGTAGGTGATCACTGGTTTTGATAAATTCGAAATTATTTATAATTTGGATATTTCACTTTATATTCAAGCCAGCCCTCTGTGCAAACGTGCTCCAAGCCTGTATGCACCTAGCCAGTCTGGCATTTTAGGTCAGGTGAAACAGATGATGTCCAGATTTGCCTTAAGTATTATCTGTCAGACTAAACTGTGCTTTCTCTTTGATCAAATTTTTAGCTATATGATATATGTGTGTGTATTTTCCTCTGATGCTGTGACTGATTGGAATTATACCATAGCAAATAAAAAAAACTTTGGCTTGTGCGAGTATCATCTCTTTCCAAGGACCCCTTTTTTGCATTCTAACCCCCCATGGAGGCTGACATCTGTGGTACATGCCCACCTCAGCACTGTAGCGGGGGGGGGAGGGGTGTCCCTTTTCTGCTGGGGGCTTCTTGCCCAGCCAAATATTCTTATATTGGGCTGGCTGATTTCTAAGGGACCTATCCATCAATTCTCTGTCACTAGCCCAACTACAGCAACAGCCAGCTCTTCCCAGAAAAGCTGGACTGGAGGGGGAAGTCATGGAAATTCCCGCTCTTTGCTAAAGAATTAAATTCCCAAGGGCATCAAAGACAGTTTGCAGTGGAGGGGGGAATTTGCTCAATTTATTCTTTTTTTTTTTTGCTGAATTGCTGAATAATGTGACTACAAAACAACCAAAGAAAGGAGGAGAAACAAGGAACTGAGAACCACCAGGATCCCAGGCCTTCAAAACAGAAAGGATCCAGCAGATGGATGTGCTTGCAACAAACTCGTGTCCATTGAGAGGAGCTGCCATCAGCATCTCGTGACTGTGAACCTTTCACCCCATTGGACACCCAAAGTCAGTAGGACAAAGTTCAACTTGCTGCTCTCCTTAGCTAATGCATTTCATCATACTCAATGTACACTTTCTTCTTAAGATAAACCCACGCCCGCAGATATGGATGCTATAAGATACAAGTACACAAGTCATTCTTTCTCCACCTCCTGCTTGTTTAACACTGGGGCCAGTCGTGTCCCAGCCAAGTGTGGCCTCCTTGGTACTAACCAAACAAATGTGGGGAGGAGCACCCCTGGACAGGGGTGTCATGTCTCCTGCTGCTGCTCCCCGGCCACGCTTCCTGCATGGGAGGTGCGGTGGGTGCTGAGCCCTTCCCTGTGCTTGTTGGGAGCTTGTCACCCTGTGAGCAGCCACAGGGAGCAGCCTGGGAGGTGTCTGGGGGCATCCAGGAGATATCTAGAGAGCAGGGAGTGCGGTGACATTGCCTCTGGGAGAGAAGCAAGGTATGGCCAGCAGCTGGCCAGGCCTCAACGGTTCTGGAGTGAACTCCCTGGGGGCCAGGGAGGAACAGGGAGAGATTTTCGGCAACTCAGCCACAGCATGGGCTGGTGGGGGAGATCTGCTGGAAGGACACAGATATGTGTATGGGCTTTTCTGTTTTGACATTTGTCTTCCGCTTTACCTGATTGCTTTATCTGTAGGGAGAAAGATAAGTGTCATCATTATATCATCATCTATAGCTGTATAAAACCTGACTTTATGGGAGTTTAAAAGTCTACCTTTTTTTTTTCTTTCTGGACACAGTATGGGAGATGGCCTCAAAGTTTTAGCTGGGTCATGGTGGTTTTACTCCCTGGAAAGCCTGGCTGCTCCCTGGAGCAGTGTGTAGATGCAGGAGGTGACTCGTCCATAACCTTGTTAAGCATGGCCATGGTTTTCAAGACGTTGCTGCCACCTCACTGGATGTTTGCTAGTGTCTGATTTTGAGTTGTCCTTCCTTCAGAGTGACTTTTGCAGAGAGTAATGGTGTTTCTTCGTGGTCAGCCTTTGCTAAAATACTGAAATGCAAAAAGTAAATCTCTTCTGTGGCCAGTCCAATGTGATTGGGAATGTTTTTATTCAGATGAAAGTACTTAGAGAGCCCCAACACGAGGCGGCCTTGCTGTTAGTGTTCCTTGGGGAAGCAATGTGCATTATTTTCCTGAACTAACACAAAGGAACCTGTCACAAATGTCTCCTGCAGAGCTGACAAGTGAGTAGCCACATGCAATAAGGGAAGGGGATAGGAAACGTGTTCGGGATGTGGATTTGGGTTGGTTTTTTTTTTGAAGAAAGATGTGGAGAGTCAGTTGTGTCAGAGAGAAATGTAAAAGGTGGTGCAATACTCTCTGTTGAAATGTACTGATTGCAACAATAATGAGATGACAAATATGAAATATTGAATAGTAGGATGGTAAGTATTGCCATTTATATTTTAATAAAACCTGGGGGCTGGGGGGTGTGTGAGTCTAAGAGCCTACTGGGCATCTTTGCAAAATTCAGCATGGGTGAAGATTGAGACATATTCACAGAATTGCAGAAGGGTGAGGTTGCAAGGGACTTCTAGAAGTCATCTTGTCCAACTCCCCTGCTCAAGCAGAGACACCTAGAGCAGGTTGCCCAGAACCATGTCCTGATGGCTTTTGAATA